TAAGATTACAGAGTTACCGATGGATTTGGTAACATGGCGACATATGACTCCACGTTGAAGTTGCTAGTCCTGAGACGGTATGTCTTCGAGGACTATATGAGTGCAACTGATTGGCAATGACATTTGATGACAATATAATTAAGTTATGACGGAAATAATCACAGAGCAGTCAATGTAGCTGTATGTTTCTACTTAAGACAAAAGCCAACATTATTTAAAATTGTGAGAATTAAGTACATTAATATAACAGTATCAACCATCAAAGTTGTAGTTTTTAATTTATGAAATTGAGATGATATAAGGGGGCAAAATTTTTATGGTTGTAGTTAGGCAACCAACTATGCATGTATGTAGTAATGAAATATAGAAATATTTTTAATTATATGGCCCTTTATGTTACTTAAACATTTGGTACCCAGAAAATATAAACTAGACACATGTTGAAGGTTGAATTATAGAAAATATTGATGTTAATGGTTGGATCTAAATATATTTATTTATAATTGGAGGTGTTCTTGTTTGAATAAAATAAAACTGTTTTAGTGAATGTTCACATGTTATTTAACTTTCAACTCAAATATAGAGGTCCTGTATGTCATAAGCAACATTTGGTACCTAGCAAATGTGAAAATTTATTTTGAGTAATAAGTTCATGAACATAAATGTCTGATAAGGTAGTAACAGACTAAAAGGTGTGGAAGTTTTATTGTATTAACTATTGTATGTAATGAACGAAAGATTTTATTTTGATGGTTGGAACATGATTATGTAGTATGTTGAAAGTGTGGTTATGATTAACATACTACATAATCATGTTCCAACCATCAAAATAAAATCTTTCGTTCATTACATACAATAGTTAATACAATAAAACTTCCACACCTTTTAGTCTGTTACTACCTTATCAGACATTTATGTTCATGAACTTATTACTCAAAATAAATTTTCACATTTGCTAGGTACCAAATGTTGCTTATGACATACAGGACCTCTATATTTGAGTTGAAAGTTAAATAACATGTGAACATTCACTAAAACAGTTTTATTTTATTCAAACAAGAACACCTCCAATTATAAATAAATATATTTAGATCCAACCATTAACATCAATATTTTCTATAATTCAACCTTCAACATGTGTCTAGTTTATATTTTCTGGGTACCAAATGTTTAAGTAACATAAAGGGCCATATAATTAAAAATATTTCTATATTTCATTACTACATACATGCATAGTTGGTTGCCTAACTACAACCATAAAAATTTTGCCCCCTTATATCATCTCAATTTCATAAATTAAAAACTACAACTTTGATGGTTGATACTGTTATATTAATGTACTTAATTCTCACAATTTTAAATAATGTTGGCTTTTGTCTTAAGTAGAAACATACAGCTACATTGACTGCTCTGTGATTATTTCCGTCATAACTTAATTATATTGTCATCAAATGTCATTGCCAATCAGTTGCACTCATATAGTCCTCGAAGACATACCGTCTCAGGACTAGCAACTTCAACGTGGAGTCATATGTCGCCATGTTACCAAATCCATCGGTAACTCTGTAATCTTATATTATTTCAACATTAATTTAAAACTAAATGTAATTAAACATATGTAACCGGGTTTTTACCCACATATTTAATCTTGGTGGCTTCATTCATGTACCCCTAGTAAGTATTAACCACATTGTTCTTTAACCTTAGTCAAAATTTTAACCTATGTTCTTTTTAATTAAGTGGTTAACTATTTTCTAGGACACTGATGATGGAACATGGTTTCCGAAAACGTTTTGTCTTTTTAACTTAGCCCGTTTGGGCCTAAAATATACCTTTTACAAAGGATTTTTAATTAAATTTTTAATACATGGTATACAGCCAACTACAGGAACGTAGATTCCTTGTGGATTAACTAACTTAGGTGGGATTCCAAAGTCTATCATTGCATTATATAATGCAGTTCTTTTCACACTGTCATAGTCTGCTTTGAAGTCGACGAAGAGATGGTGTGCATTTATGTTATATTCTAGTGACTGTTCTAGAATCTGCCTATATTCTTCAATTTGATGCATAGTTGACTTTCCAGCAGTAAATCTGCATTGATATTGACCAACAATATCCTTTGTAAAATGTTTGTCTTTCAAACAATACATTTCCAAAGATTTATACGCAGATGCAAACACAGTAATGCCTCTATAGTTCTTACACTCCAGTTGATCACCCTTTTTATGCAAGGGCCATATTATTTCCTTTAGCCACTCTTCTGGTACCAATTCATTCTGCCATATAAGTACTATTAGTTTATGGATTGCTGCGAAAAGTTGATCACCACCCTTTTTATAAAGGGTTCTTTTCTCTGGAACATTCTTTTTTTTTTCTCCGTGTTCAACCTGTGTTGATGGTTTTTTGATATCGTCGTGGTACTTGCAATAGGTCCTATGTCAAAAAAACCACTTTCTGGCTTATGAAACATACATGACCGATTCAGTCAAATACACAACTCCAATAAGTCATATGTCGATGGGCTAATAAGAAAGATGGGTCGTAACTTCATTTAAGTAAATAAAATTTCGGATGAATTGATGAAGAATTGTAAAGATGGGAAGTTTTTTGTCCTTCCTGAAAAGTTACATGAAAATGACATACGGCCTATTGCAGGTACCACGACGATATGCTGCGTTCTTTCTATTTGTGGTCATTTCGCACTCATGATCAAACCAATGATTTCTTTTTTCTGACTTGGTTTTGCCCAATATTTCAACCGATTTCTATAACACAATATCTAGTATATTTGCCCATAGTTGGTTAATGTCTTTTAATAGGGAGTTTTTGTAACATTTTTTTGTACCTAACGTAAATAACTAACGTATCGAAGAAGATGAACGTTAAATTGAGAGTTAAAGTTCTGCACGTAACGTAACAATGGTGTTGCCCTCATCGAATTAGTGATAAACTAATTAATAAGTTGTCAGTGCCAGTGTTGTCCTTGTCACTTAACCCTATTTTTGATATTCAAAATAAATAATAAATATTTTTTCAACAATTTTTAATTTTGGAGATGGACGCAATAATAAATCTAGGTGCCTTTATTGATGTAGAAGAAAACGAGGACATAGAAAATGCGATTCTTCTCCACATCTTGCGCGAACCGTTGATTGAATAACGAACTTACGACCGCTTTAATTTATACCATGTCTGATATACAATGTAAAAATCTTTTTCACTTTTGGATTAAATTCCACCTTTCTGAATAATCGTAAGGGTTCTGGCCTAACTTCCTTTAACAAAAACAAATCATTTTCAGTGCTGAAGCGAAGAAAGACGTTTTTTACTGCTTTCCATTATTTATAAAAGTCAAAACAAATATACTTAACGCAAATGTGATGAAATGTTGATGTTGATAGTTTGGTAATCGGGTAAGATCCCCTTGCGCAATATACGTTATACGTGGATACGTTAGTTCAACCAATAAAGCGCATACTTATATGTCAAAAAGATACGTTACGTATACGTATTTGCTTGCACAAAAACTCTCTAATGTCTTCTTTAATGTCTTAATGTTTTGATTATATTAGGGAGTAAGTTTTGTATTGTGAAACTATTGTTTTTTAAAAGTACAGGTTCAAAACAATCAATAATTTGACGAGATAATTGCAAAAAACATTATTTTTGCACTATTTAATAAATGTTAATGATTTTTTAATGAGAGTTTATATATTCGCATGCACTTTACACATTGTGGTTGTTAGATTAAATTATTATAATAATAATATACAAACATAGAACATACGATATTAAAATTATTAAACTTAAGTCGAAGGTTATAGTCTTGAATCCAATATATTGCATTGCGCGTGAGTTTCTAGATTTCTTGTAGACAGCATGCAAGTTTGGTAGCTGATTTGTTACAAACTAAATGATAAACTCGTATTCCATTTAGGTCGAATCATTCATGACAAGGAAGGGAAAAGCCGCCCTGGTTTAATTGTGGGGGTCTCTAGCATTTCTGATGTTTGGACTCCATTTCAGTCAGTAGTGAAATCAGTTAAAGTTGTAGTTCTAGTAGGCGGATGTCTGGACCTTAGTCTTAACTGTCTTTGGTCAAGTTCAATGATGCTGTATTTATACGCAGTGCTGCGTTTTGAACTACAGTTTAGAGGACGGCTAGTTGTCTTGTTGTAGGTGGAGCGATGTTGCTGAGAACTGGAAACCATTGGGTTGGTGTGGATATATGTGTGGACTATATAGTTCCCGTTATTCTTATGTTCTGAACACCTATGAATGATGGTTCTGATGAGACCTATTAGGTCGAAATACGTATCAACAGATACGTAGGCGCTTTTTGCGTGAAATCAAATATTTGCTGTCTTTTTCATTTCAAAGTTACTAATTGTTTAAAAACGTCATATCTCTTTTGTTTGTAAATATTAAGAGTTGAATTTTTTACAGATTGTCATTGATTGCCTATGTTTTATGATGCAATGGATAGGTATGCAATTTATGTAATTTGAAATAAGTAGTAGCCCTTTAAAGTGACGGTTTTCGCGCGAATTCTACCGTGGGTGGGTGGTGAGGGAAGAAGTTTGGATTGGAATCAAATTGGAGGGAGCTGAAAAATTTGTAATATCTCCGGTTCTAAAAATGTCTTTTTTTAACTCGACAAAATATTAACAACAGTATAATTTTCATTTCTCCGAAAAAAAAACGGAAAATGCAAAAAATTACAATTTCTTTTTTTTTTATTTTTGATTTAAGAATATTTTTGATGGGAAATATTCCTAAATCTTTGGTGGGTATTTTTAATGTCCTTATTCGTTATATAAATCGTTGATCGATGAAACTTCTATCAGTTTATCAAAATTATCAGCCACTTATACGCGATTATTATCAAGTGTATCAGACACTTATACTCGATTATACTCTCAAAATATTTTTCAAATCTATTTTTTAAATAAATTTTAATTATTTTATTTATTAATAAAAGTTATTTTTAATTTCAGTGAAATGCAATAGATAACAATACTGAAAAACGTACTAAGAAAATATAGAATAATGCCTGTCCTAAGCCCCCATCGTAGTTCATCTTCCGGTCTGAGTGGTTCATACAGATCCACGTTCAGTTCATCAGCACTAGATAGACCATTTTATTCATCGGCATCCTACAGTCCAAGATTCAACACCTACAGCGAGAGATATACAAGTAGGACGTTCACAGATTCGGATGGCCGCAGAATATACACAAGGTAAGAAATCAAGTTTAATGGTACCTAATATTGGCTATGTAACATATATAGTTATTTAATTATCCCGCGGTTTTAACAGTTACTCGTTTATTTTTCTTGTCCAGATTTTTCTAGACAAATTATTGTTTTAAGGCGTTGAATCGAACAACAAATTCAGTTATCTCACTTGATTTCACTAGATCTGGTTTCAGTATTAAGGCTGTTTTCGCAGTTATAGCATACTGCGATTTGAAGTGGGCGTATCACTTACTTTTCTACACTGCTTATATCAGACCCTACGTGACTTTCTAATTTGAAATCTGCAGTTTCGATGTTTATTCAGTGGCGCCGGCCCACGGGTTGTTTAATGACAATAAATGCATTATTCTCCATTCAAATTAGTTTTGTCGGAATACTTTTTTTAGATTGATTATCGTAGATAATGTTTTAAAAAGAATTAATCACATTTTTAATTTATATGTCTTAGCTAAACATAGTATTAAATAAAAATTTGTGAAACCTGACTGCAATAAACACCTTGGTGTTTATTTATAATAAATTTAAAATAGCATAAGAATATTATTATCAAAAAAATTACAATTTGTTGTCACAAACAAATAAACAATTTCGCAGTTATAGCTTGAAAATTATTTCAAGAAGTTATTTATGTGTTACAAAAAACTGATATTAGCGTAGTAAAAATTAAACAAAAAATATTTTTATTTATCTATAAAAAATTGGTACCTGCGAAACCATCATAATAGTAAATGTATTTATCTGGCAAGTATTTCGAGGCGACGCACTGCGAGGAAAAAGTTCTCTGAATGGAATATACATAATTTTAATATATTAATAGGTTGCAGTTACATAAGAAAAGTATTCAATTGATGAATAAAACACAAATCGTGGATAGTTATTTCATCATCATCAGTGGCATTACAGCTCGTCATGAGCCAAAGGCTTCTTCAGAACAATCTTCCATTCGCCCCTGCCTCTGGCAACTTTCTCCATGCTTTAACTCCGATGGATTTTAGATCATACTGTATGTTATCTTGATACCTAAGTTTTGGTCTTCCTCTGGATCGTCTTCTCACTGGTCCTCTTCGGTCCAAAATATTTCTGATCGTTTCATCTTCATGTCGCCTAATTACATGTCCTATCCATCAAAGGCGTACTAATTTAATAAATTTTACAACGTCAGGTACTACACCTGAAGAAGCATCGTAGTTTACTTTATACGATCTTTTTGACCAAGCACCATCAGCTATAGCGGTTATTAACCCATTTCCGTCGGAATCTATTTCACCAATTTCTTTGTCTAAAGCTAATTCCTCCCGTCCAACCTCTTCTAAGGAATCACAAAGTGTTTGGGCCGATGATATCTTCAACTGTCTCCGTATGTTTTGCATACTGCCTGTAGGACATCACAGGTATATTTAATGCAGCGTGCTGCTGCTGTATGTCTGAATAACCAGAACCATTCAATATCAGTGAATTGTTACCAGAATCCTATGTTGCTATCTCCTTTTCAATATTCCACATTTGACATTTCAAAGTCAATATACTTATCAATCCGTCCATCTTTTCTTTGATAATCTCCATATTAGAAAAGTTGCATGAAAATGGAGAATGATTATTCAAACCTCTTCTATTTCATTGCTCCCTATTTTATCCATTACAGCTTCTATATTTCTTTCTTATTTATGGCTTTCTTTACAACCGTTTATATAGTACTAATAGTTTATAGTAATATTGACTAATTACAGCTGTTTCCACAGGGGGTGGGTCTTTCTCAAGTGATGTATTTTTCCATATATCAACACTTTAGAGTCTTTTAACTGAATAAGTTGAGGAGGGGAGAGCTGTGGTTCTCAAGCTGGTCATTAAGAATTATATCTGTATTTTTTAATGATTCTAATGAAGATACTTAAGGCCTTTTTGAATATATATTCCTATATTTGAATATGGAGAATTTGAAATTGGTCATTAAAAGAATGATTATGATCTAGAAGGTGAAGGCGTACGTAGAATCTGTTTTTCTATTATTGAAAGCTCTTTGGTGTTCTGCCATACGTTTGTCAAAAGTTCTACCAGTTTGTCCGATGTTAGTTTTTGGGCTGTTACCAATTGTAAGTTTGTATACATACTAAAAATATATCACTTAAGAAAGGCATTCTACAGAAACCGCTATAATGAAAATAAAATCATTTTGTGCAAGTGAAGAAAAGTTTTTAGTATTTATTATTAAACAAAGGGTAATGTTACAACTTGGAATAATACAAAATAGGATAAAAATATTTTAGTTAGGAAAGATAAGTAATAGAGAGTTTTTGTGCAAGCAAATACGTATACGTAACGTATCTTTTTGACATATAAGCATGTGCATTATTGTTTGAACTAACGTGTCTAGATACGTATTACCTAACGTAACGGGCTGATACGTTACGTTCATACGCATCCCTATCGAGCCGAAAGTAACCGCATGCACAAGGGGATCTTACCCGATTACCAAAATATCAACATCCCCATTTCATCAGCACACGTAGCACGTATTTTTTCACATTTGTGGTTCAGTATATCTGTTTCGATTTTTATAAATAATGGAAAGCAGTAAAAAAGGACTTCACTTCTCTTTAACTTTAACTCTCAATTTAACGTTCATCTTGTTAGATACGTTAGTTCTTTACGTATAGGGAGATACGTTACGTTAGGTAGTTACAAAAACTCCCCAATATCTTGTTGAATATAATTTAATAATAATAATAGAAAAGGAAAAGGAAGAGTTTCAGAGAAGTCAAGGTTAACACTGTCGATTCCAACACCTTTAGACCAACATCTGGTGTAAGACAAGGTTGTATTGTATTACCCATTCAGTGTACGAGGTCTGGCTATTAAATAACGAGACTGCTTATAAAAAAGAGTTTTATTTTAAACATTATTCTACAATCGAATGCCCTTCTTCAATATATTCCCTTTCCCTCGCCACACACCGTTCCAATTTTTTCCATTGGTCAAAGCAATGCTGGAAGCCTTCTTTTGTTAGAGATTTTAGGAGCTCCGCGGTTTTTCGCTTCATCTCTTCCATTGACTCGAACCGGATTCCTTTTAAGGCAGATTTGATCTTCGTAAATAGGAAAAAGTCACAGGGTGCTAAATCAGGCGAGTACGGCGGGTGTTCGAGCACTGGAATGCCTCTAGCGGTTAAATAACGCTTCACAGATAGCACGTTATGGGCAGGTGTGTTGTCCTGGTGCAAGATCCACGGCTTGTTTTTCCACATCTCCGGCCGTTTCTTACGAACTCGCTCTCGCAGCGTTGCCAAAACTTTCAAATAGTAAGTTTGGTTTACAGTTTGACCCTCTGGAACCCATTCAGTCATCACGATGCCGGTAATATCGAAAAAAAAAACGATTTGCATGGCTTTAAATTTTGATTTCGACATTCTTGCTTTTTTCATTCTTGGCGATGCAGGAGTTTTCCAGTGCATGGATTGTCGATTAGTTGCAACATCGTATTTGAATATCCAGGTTTCATCGCAAGTTATGATGTTTTCCATTAATTCAGGCTCTTCATGTAATCTCTCAAGAAAATCTGAGCAGCTTTTGGTCGGACGAGCTTTTGGTCAGGGGTCAAATTTTTTGCGACCAACTTCGCACAGACTTTCTTCATGTTAAATTTCATTTATTTTGGTCCCTGTTGGCGGAGTTGAAACAGAGATAGGTCGACCTGGACGTTGGTCATCTTCGGGGCTCTCTCGGCCTTCAGAAAACCGTTTATACCATTAAAAAACACGCGCACGAGATACAAAATTCTCACCATATGCCTCTTTCAACAAATTATAGCACTCAGTTTCAGTTTTTTTTAACGAGAAATTTCACATTAATCCGTTGCTCATGTTTTTCGTTACACATTGTTATCGGCACGAGAAAAAAACACGTTCTTTTCTAACCTCTACAGAAAAAATACTACTACAGCAACAAAAACGTGTTTTCATACTTCCAGCTATCCAATGCTGCATTCGTTTCCTACTCTTTCCCTCTAGGACGCCTTCTGCGCGCGCAGTCTCGTTATTTAATAGCTAAACCTCGTATATATTATGAGAAAGCTCTTACAAGGGCGGAGAGACGGAATAACGATTAGTGGCACGATGATACCCCAATATTGTTGCTCAGAAGATGAACTGGTTCAATTAAGTAACGAGTTGGATTCCGTCAGCAGGGAATACGGTCTTATGCTGAACAAAAGGAAGACTTAAATCATGGTAGTATATCGCAATTCATCTAAAAAATGATCATCGACAAAAAGGATAGCTGATTTCGAAGTGGCCCGCAGGTATTGAACATATTAATTTTTCAACATATGCATCTGAGACATGGACATTAAAGGACGCCAATCACAGAAAAATAGATACTTTCGAGATGTGGGCTTACATAAGAATGTGGCGAATATTATACATAGATCACGAACTTTTCAATTACAAAACAACTAAACGTCTATACAAGATTATCCACAAGAATCAATCAGTCCTACTTCAGATATTTGGGCACATTGCAAGGAGAAAAGAAGGCCCAGCAAAATTGTTTTTCGAGGGTAAAATGAATGGCAAACGACCACGAGGAAGGTATTCCACAAGCTGGGTGGATCAAGCTATAGGAATTATTATACACGAAGCCATGATGACAGTATTTGTTCTTTCGAACGTAAAGAGAGAGAAGATATTTAGACTATGTGATTAACAAGGAAAACAGAAACCAGAAATAAGGTTGATTATTCTTAGCTTAAATGAGGTTAAGTTAATGTCGGAGTTGAATCTAGTTCAAAATAAACGAACAGAGAAACAAATTGGAAGTCTACATCCTAATTAGGTATCTATTGGTATTATTGGTGATTCTACACAAATCAAAACTGTTCTTAGTTCAGGCGGGACTGGTTAATCTCTGGCACTTGGTCGTAAGACCTTTGTACCATAACTAAATCAAAGCTCAAACAACTTCTCTAAAATGATGTTTTGGCAAAACACT